AATATTTTTTCTTTATTTATTTTATTATTTATTTACTTAACTTTAGCTTTATATACCTCAATTATTGTATACACTATAAAATAATTTTTATTTATTTATTTTATTTTATCATACTAACCTTTTAATTAAATATAAAGATGGAAAATATTATATTTATATGAAAGTCTAAACGTAATAAAGTTAATATAAAATTGTTGGCTTTTGGTGATAGAGTACAGAGATTGCCTTTTATGCCCGGCTCCTTTGTGTGGGCTCACGTGTAAATTGGCGCTGAGCCGATGATTTAGCAGTATTTTCACTTGAGGAGTTTTGGGTTTGCGTGTGACGGCTTTTACTGCTGCTGCTGTTGCTGCCGCTGCTGCTGCTGTTGCTGCCGCTGCTGCTGCCGCTGCTGTTAAAGTTGCTGTCGTCGCAATGCGAACTTTGAGTCGATGGCGAGTAAAGTTTTCGCACAGCTCTCGAAGGCGGCGACAGTATTTTTTGTGCACTTGACATGTTTTGACACGCGGAAAAGGCGGTGCGCTGCTTGGCAGGAGTCGTTAAAATGTTCGCCAGTCCATTGGAGTTCGATGTCGTGCTGCGCGCCAAAATGGCCAATGTGAATTTGGTAATTGCACTTGGCGGCACTCAGGGGTCAACGCATTACACCTCTCTGGAGAGGCGAGTGCCAGCTCGTGGGCGCGTCACGTGCAACGGTAATCCACCACGTTGCCAGGCGCAACCGAGCGACCGAACAACCCAGGCGGCACTTGCACTTTCCACGGGACGCAACTTGCAGCTGGGCAAGGCGGAGTTTTCTGTGTGCTTCTCTTTGTTTATTATTGTTGCCGTTGGTTGTGGCCATTGTTGCTTTAGTTACTAACAAGCAGCGACCGCACACGGGTCGCAGATGAAAAAGTAATTTTTAATTATTGATAGCGTCGCACAATTTGCGCGTGATTAACGCGAAAATATGTTCAATTATCAATTTTAAATTGCCAATGCATTGTAAAATAAAATGTTTAATTACACTCCGGCACCAGCGACAGCAATAACAAACGGCAGCAGCAACAACAACAACAGCAGCACCAGCATTGCCACACTCGAATAAATATTAACATAATGAAATTACAAAAAAAAAAAAAAAAGAATAAAAAACAAAAATGAATTGAAGGCAAATGCAAGCAAAACATTTGAATGCAATTATAGTTTTGAGCTCGTGTTTAAACTCTGAATTGGCATCAGCCAGCAAAATACCCTAGAATAAATGAGATTGGGCATACACGACTTGAAGTGCTAAGAAATCAAATGTAGGCAAAGCCTGGAATATACTCGATCTAGTCTGTCTCGGAGCTAAATACACTCGCTATATATCGTATAGGCATCGGCATTTCTTTCTGCTGAATATTTCCCCTTTATAGGAACGTAGGATATGCCACTCCTTCTGTTTAGCTAGGATACGCGGACAGTTATATACGACCAGGGATACTCTGCCGGTGGCAGAGCGTGCAAATGACATTTTAATTAGTTTATTAATCGCTTTGGCGTCGCGTGTGCAGGGGCGTGGCTTTAAGCCATAATTAATTTTCTTTTTTTTCGGCGTCGCCTTTGAGTGTGGCGATAAATAAATGMAAAATTGAATCGCGAATGAATGAATGAGTGCATGAATTATGCATTCATGGCACAAGTGAATACAAGTAAATAACTCGAATGTCTGTGTGTTGCGTTTCTTTCCAGCCCCAACTGCTGCGGCAACGTGACCGTAGCAACCGCAACGCGCTGCATTATTGTGCCGCGCAGGATCTGGAGCAGACGCGCGACCTCGTGGCGGCCGCAAGCATTGCGATTGCAGCTCCCGAGCTGCTGGAGTCGGCCGATGAGGATGGCTTCACGCCGCTTCACTTGGCTGTTATTCAGGGCAACTTGGCGATGGTCAATTTGCTGCTAGCGAACAAAGCCGATGTGAATGCGGTGGACAATGAAGGCCACTCGGTGGTGCACTGGGCCACGGGTAAGATTCCAGTCCACAGTTGCGGCGCAACTATTTCCAACTGCTGCCGCTGCCATAACAAACTCACTTTGCCCTTGCAGTGTGCGGCGAAATTGAGGCACTGCGCGCTGTGCTGGCGGCCGGGGCCAGCGTGGCCAAGCCCGACGTCAATGGCGGCACGCCCCTGCACTATGCCGCCCAGATGTGCGGCGCCAGCTACGACAACAAGCAGCAGTCCAATTCCAGCAAGCTGGCCCTCGAGATTCTTGGCATACTGCTCGCCCATCCGCAGGCCAGCGTCGACGTCCAGGACAAGGACGGACGCCAGCCGCTGCTGTGGGCCGCCTCGGCGGGCTCGGCCAAGGCGGTCATAGCCCTGGTGAAGGCAGGCGCACGCGTCGAGAGCGCAGACAAGTGGGTTCAAAAATGAAATGAAATGAAATGCTTTCACCTAACTGAGATTTACTTTGCTTGCAGGGACGGGCTGACCGCGCTGCACTGCGCCGGCTCGCGCGGCCACACGGAGTGCATCGACACGCTGATCAGCCTGTGCGGCGCGCCCACAGATCTGATTGACTCCAATGGCTGCACGGCGCTGCATTATGCCGTGACGCTGGGCCATGCGGATGCCACGGCACGGCTGCTGGACCTCGAGGCCGATCCCAATCGGCAGGATCGCAAGGGCCGCACGCCAGCCCACTGCGGCTGCTCCAAGGGCCAGTTCGAGACGCTGAAGCTGCTGAAGGAGCGCGGCGCCAACCTCTGGCTGCGCAACGCCAAGGGCGACCTGCCGCTGCACGAGGCGGCCGCCTCGGGGCGCCGCGAGCTACTCGAGTGGCTGCTCTCCCAGCGACCCAAGCAGGTGAACACCACCAGCAACGACGGACGCAGCCTGCTCCACACGGCTGCCGCCAACGACTACACGGACATGTGCAAGCTCCTGCTGGACTACGGCGGCGATGTGAACGCGCTCTATCGCAATTCCCGGGGCCTGGTGCTGACGCCGCTGGACTGTGCGCTGCAGCGCGGCCATCGCTCCACGGCCAAGTTCCTGCAGTCGCACGGCGGCCAGCCGTCCAACAAGCTGCGGCTGGCAGCACGGCGCGGCAATCCCTTCCACGACGGCAACGCCGCGGACCTTGTGCGTCCGCTGAAGTACATGGAGAAGGAGGAGCTGCACGACTTGCGCAGCTCCAAGAAGTATGTCGTCTATCTGAAGCGCACCGATTCGGATGGCGGCGGTGGTGCTGCGGGAGTGGATGAGGAGGAGGAGTGCAGCTGCACGGAGCAGTCCTACCGTAAGGAGCAGCGGCTGGAGCACATCTGCCGACGCCACAAGCGCCGCCAGCTGCGACGGCGCACCAACAGCTGTGGCGAGAGCCCGCACGAGCGCTGCGGCGACATCTGCCGCTCCAAGAGCAACATTGAGATACGGCGGCGCAAGTCCAGGGAGCGCTACGCCAGCACCAGCGAAGACGACAACGACGAGGATGACGAGGACTCCTGCGAGAACTGCTGCTACCACAAGCGCCAGAAGCAGCGAGTGGTGCAGCGCAAGCGCTCCACGCCCTCGCACAGATCCAAGGAGCTGCCTGGCAGCGAGCACGACGCCAACGGCTCGGCGAGCAAGATTGAGCACATAGTGTCTGTATCCCAGGAGCAGACGGACAGCGCCAGTGCGGCACAAGCCGCTGAGACAAGCAGCAGTCAGATGCAGCCGGCCACACCGACGGCCACCAAGGAGGGCACCTTCATCAAGTCGCCTCCGCAGAGCGCGAAGAGCGAGAAGGCAGCGGCTGTGGAGCCGGACAGCTTGAAGGTAGCAGAGAGCCATGCCATGGAGCTGACGGATGAGGAGCCTGAGGCCGCCAAGTCGGTGACCACCCAAGTGGATGTGCACCACGATGCCGAGCAGCAGCTGTCCAAGTCGCTGGACGAGCCACCAGCAGAGCCGCCAGCAGAGCCGCCAGCAGAGCCAGCAACTGCAGCCGACAGTGGAGCAGATGTAAAGAGGCAACTGAGCGAGGAGGACACCAAGCTGGTGTCCACTGAGGTCGAGCAGATGATCAAGATAGCCGCCACGGCACTGAGCAGCGAGTCGAAGAGCTCCACCGAAGATGCATCAGTGAAGGGTCAGCAGGAAGCCGCCGAGGGGTCAGCGGGGTCAACGAACAATGAACCTGCGGAAAATAAAAGCTCTGGCGTTGATTTGGAGAAAGCAAAGCCTTCCGAAACACCCACTGCCAGCACCGCAGCACCTCCGCCTCCGCCTCCTGCTGAATCCGCAGCCAAGCAGCCGCAGTCGGATACACCTGAGCCGCCCTCAAAGACCGCAGCAGAGGCGGAGGCTGGCAGCAAATTGGAGCAGATGGCGGCTGAGCCGAAAGGTGAGACAAAGCCCTCGTTGCCTGCTGCCACGCCTACCCAACCACAAGCTGAGCCCGCAAATCCACAGCCCAAGCCACCAGTCACGCAGCAGCAACAACAACAACAACAACAACATGATGAACAGCAACCACAACGTGAGCAGGAATCTAGACGCTCCTTTACGCTGCTGCCCTCGGATTCGGCTGATGACGAGCCAGCGGCAGCTGCTGCATCCGCCTCCGATGAGCCCGTGCGCAAGTCCAGTTTTCAGGTGCTGAAGAGCGATGAATCCGCTGGCGATTTGGAAGAGTCGCCGCGTCCAGCTGAGCTCAGCTTTGGCGGTGGCAATCAAGTCTTTCAGGTGGTGCACGACGGCACCGCCAGCTCCAAGCTGCCCAGCGCATCGGAGCTGGACAAGGTCGACTACGAGTACGAGGAGTTCGACGATGGCGCAGATGACGACGATGCAGACGACATTGATCCGGAGCACGACAGTGCTCTGCGTCGGTTTTTGAGCAGTGGCCGCCATGGCGTGGGCGGCGAGGTGGGCGTCACCAGTGACGCCACAGCAGCCGCCGAGGGCTACGATGGGCTGGCGAACGGGCGCAAGCGGCGGCTGAAGAAACGCGTACGCAGCGGCGCCAAGACGCGCAGCAACTGGAAGCACTCGCAGGAGTCGCACGAGAGTCACGCGTCGCTGGCCACCGCTGCAGCCAGCAAGGATCAGGACTCGGGCTTTGAGCCCAGTCCGCGTGCGGAGCGCACAAAGATACCCACGCCGCGCACCGCCCACACGGCCATGCCCCGCCGCCCCATCTATGCCACCCTGGACGGGCGCTCGTGCAGCAGCCGGCTGGAGAACCGCAAGCCCGGGGACAAGGGGGCCTGCGACATGGGCGCCGTCACACGCTCCATTCAGCGCAACATCCGCAGGTGAGTCGCCGGCGCCGATTTCGAGCCACTGATTCGTCACCATTTAAATGGCCAGTGGCCAAGATTCATTCACTTAAATTAATCACCAGACTGCCTTTTCGGTAGCCGTAGATTTATTTACTTGATGCCTGATTTTAATCAACTTGAATGTCCCGCTGCCGAGACTAGCGCACCATGCAGTCCAGTCTCTCTCCCACTCTCTCTCTCTCTCTTTCTCTCTCACTCTTACTCACTCGCTCGACTGGCTGGCAGATTCGCATTACATCACGCACGCGCCTCTGGGCAGCCGCAGCCGCCGTGCGTCCATTTAATGTAATCAAAGTGGCTGGCGATTCAGTCAACGCAGCCTCCGACTCGACTCGTGGCTGGGGCGCCTTAAAGTTAATTTAGTTGGGCACTTAATAGCCTTGGCAACATTTCTCATTTTTTAACGTAGCCGGCCGGCCGTCGCCATTGTTGTCCGGGCGAACAAATAAATTGCCCAGCTTCCGGTTGCCATAAAGAGCAAAAAGCGCACGCTTTAAAGTTATCATAATGCGGTTAACGGCAATAAACGCGGCATTAATGTCCATGCGCCATGTACACGGGTATTAACGATGACCCCATGACCACAATAGATTAAACAGTAATTGTAACAAGTGCTGCTCATTATCACGCCGACACACACACACACACACACACACACGCATACACACATGCATTTTATTGTCAAGTGGAGCTATTCGCGCTCATTGTCTGCGGCGAGTTTTTGCATGCAGTTTATAATTAAATCTAGTTTGATTAACTTTCTCGATCACATTACAATTTAAATAATTGATTATGGCAATGGAGTCAGGGGGCAGGCGAGGCAGCGTAGGCCAGGGCATTCTGCAAAATGAGAAATGTATTTGAAAGCCCGCCCAGGCTGCTTGGGCCTTTGAATAGGGGGAATGCCCCAGGCGAGTGGCTGCAGAATGTTTGCAGAGCTCAGCTTTGAAGTCGGCAAATAAAAACATTAAGTCCCACCAATTATTTTCAGCAATAATCCGAGCACTAAGCTGCGTTGAAGGGCGAGATAGTAGAACTCACTAAAGATAACTAAGGATATCCTACGATTATCCATGTATACTATATATTATATAGTTGAACTCACTAATTAAAACTGAGTTATATATTATGGTTATATAATATACATACAATAGCTATGATATATCT